GACCAGAGCTGGGGAAAAAAAACCTTAGACAATTTTAAGCAACTCAAAAAAAATCCACACGTAAACAGAAAATCTTAGCTTCAAAAATTTTATTCTAAATTTGAACAAAACAAAAATACAGAAAAAGCACATGGTACATTTATTTCCTGTTTTATGTACATATTTTATGCAATATTAAAGCTTTTGGTGCAACTGTTCTCTTTTAAAAACAATACTATTTTAAATTGAGAGTAGCTGGTTAGTAAATCGGGTTATTGGCAGAGATCATTAGCCTTCTTTCTGCTGCCTACACTGCAAAAAAATGAAATCTAAATAAGTCATTTCTTTTTAAAATAAGTGCATTTTTTCTTGAATTAAGGATTTAAGTGAGACATTTTGCCAATGGAACAAGACAATTTACGCTTAAAATAAGAAAAAACAATTATATTGTCTTATTTCAAGTGCATTTTATCTAGATACCTTATTTTAAGAGTAAAAATACTCATTCCATTGGCAAATCATCTTATTTACCTGCTCAAATTAAGGGTAAATACCCTTAATTTAAGACATTTTTACTTATTTTGAGATCATTTTTGCAGTGTAACAGACATACCATCCATTTAAATGTGTTACCTTTATAGGAGTTACCAGCATTGCTCGGTTCTCCTCTTAGAAGACAAAAACTCTTAAAACTTCCTTAGTCAAAACATTATAAGGATCCAATTTTTAAAGGCTGTGGTCGGAAATTTTACATTTCTCATCTCTCATATATTTAGTTATGCTGTTTATCCAGTGAAAAATGTTTTTACTCAGTTTGTTTCACCTGCAAGGCTGAGAAAATGTCTGAGTGAGGGGTGGTTTTAGACAAAACGTACTTATCCCCACGACAAGCCAAATTGTTTCTCAAGGTTTGTTAAAGTGTGTGTAATTTGTTTTTTACTCCGAGACAACCTTCAGAGTTTTTTCATCAACATAAGTAAGGGAGACAAACTCTGTCTAGTCCAAACAGGGCTGATTACTGTGCCGTAAGGGCTGTATGATGAACTGTAAGAAAATAACGTGCCGACTGACTGGAATCCATCAATGTCCGTTTATTTAACTAGGGTCAATAGTTGAATACTTTATTCCCACTACAAAATGATTTCTTTGTTGTTTTGAAACCATAACATTTTTCACAACATTAATAAACCAGCAGTTGGATCCTTGCTTGTCAATGTATTATTTGTTTTTATACAAAAAATAAAATGTGTGACTGTGTAAAGTGTGAGTGTGGCTACCAAGGTCCAACCACATGTATGTTCAAAATGCTGTGTCTCCCCTTGACAGCTTAAAGTAACTTTTCAAAGCTATAATATACTGTTACGGCTGTCGCCGTCATATTTGTGTTTTCCCTTTTATTTTATTTTTTTCCCGCTTTTGCTCATCTCCTATGTAGGCTGCATGGCCCTGTGGAAAGACCCGCCTACTTCCTGGTTTCTGGGGATCTGACTTCAGTCCCATCCATTGGTTCCCTCAGTTAAAGAAAAAAAAAGAAAAAAAAAGGGAAAACACAAATATGATGGCAACAGCCGTAATATATACCTAAATACCAGGAAGCAACTAATCCGTATAAAATATCTAAAACGTTTGCAAAAATAAAAAATAAAAAAAATGTTCAATGTGTGTATGGATCAAGTTGAAACGCTTCATCTTGAGGAACAAAAAGATAAAACTGTTTCTGTTTGCCGGAAACAATTCTTACGCCAGACAATAAATGTATCAAATATGGATTTGTGGATGTAAAGAAAAAATAAAAAAAAACCCTCTCCTGCCTGACCTCTGGCCTGGACTCGACACCCCCTTTATCAATGCCAGCAGCAGCTAAAAGGGACAGTGATGAAACTGAACAGGCAGCAGTTCACGCTCCCTTCTTCTAACCTGTATGTCACACAATAAGGGACCTGTCTTGCTTAAGGAGGAGGAGGAGACCCCCATCATCTTGCCTTACCAACAAGCATCTATTCCAGCCTGAATCCGATCCCCCCTCCTTTAAATCCCTAACTGGACTCCTCTGCCACCGCCTTGCGGTGAACGAGGGCGTAAACAGTAATTGCTACATAAATTATGTTGCTCTCACTGTGTTTTTCTTTCCCCCCTTGGCGCTCTTGATGACATGCTGATATACTGTAGTGGGACTACATGCTGATGAGTGTGGCTGTAAAAAAAAGAAAAAGGGAAAAAAAGAAGTTGGGTCATAAATCTCTATAGCGCTTATATTTGTGGATAGAAAGACAGGACTGTTGTATGTATACTACATTTAAAACGTACGCAGATGATTGACAGCTATTAATCCACAGAGCGCATTCATCAATAAAAAAAGGACTGTGACACATCCACTCAAATGTTCTTGTGCTACCAGCATCCCTTCATCGATGCTGGTGTGAATCAAAAGATTAATTAATAGGCTGGTCAAACGTGCTCATAAATAAATGCTGAAGAGGTAGGAGCAAAGGAAGCGAGGGCCGATGGGTGTTACAGTGATTTCCAGGAATTTCCAGCATTGATGGGTCAGGCTGACAAAAAAATTAAACCCAACTAAATTGCACCCAAATCTTCTGGGGTTATTTGTTTGTCCCATAAAAAAAAAAAAGTAAAAAGGAAATTAATAGAAGTAGCAGAACAGACTCTGCTTACAGAATACACACACAGCTTTTTATGAGTCCATCTACAAATAATCTGCAGCCTTTTCAAGAGATTAATCCCTAAATGCCATGCAGTAATCCCTCTGTGACTTTGTTTCTGCTTTAAAATAATTGTGTGAAAATATCCTGATGACACTGATTTGGTATTTCAGAGGAAAGATTTGACACAATGATAAAGAAAATGAGAAAAAGAATTTGGCCAGGCTTATGCATAATCTGTGCTGAAGTTTGAAGTGTGTGCTTGTGAGTGTGTGTGTGGAGGGATAATAATCTGACGATTTAAGAAAAGCATAAAACAGCGAGAAAACATCTAAGAGAGGGATCCAACTCCGGCCACGGACACAGTTCATTTCCGATCGGTCCCCTGAGCAGGGCCTCTTAATGTCCCGTGTTATCAGAGTGAATCAGCAGCACTGATAAATTAGCCCCCACTTCACAAACACACCCCGAAAGGCCCGTCAGCTAATCTGCACGCCCGCGTTTGTGCGACGCTCATATGCAATGCTTAATGTTGTGGAACCAATTCTGCCGTTTCCATTATGTAAATACATTTGCCTCGGCACTATATTTTATGTATTGTCTCCCTTGTCTCAATTACTTGGGCTATTAAAAATCAAGAGGTTATGGAAATGAAGTTTGTGGTCGTCTGTTTTGCACTTTGATGACAAGCAAAAAGTGTTAATGGAAGCTCGTTATGCGTTCAGTCGCTGTCGGATACGTCAACGTGCTCCGAGCCTCCGTCCACGTTCCAACGTGTAAATGGGGCTGCACATCAGCATCTTCCAGCACAAACAGAACACACACTTTTCATGTTTTCATTGCTGATACATAAAACTAAATACAACTAAATGTGCTGCAGCTGTTTTTCTTTAAATCTCCCCTTATTCTTTTATTAGAGGTCCTTAAAGAAGACAAAATAGGCAGAATAAACAATCATTTAGTGTGATGCATCAGCATGAATCGGCTTTTGACATCTTAATGGTAATTGCTAAAATGCTTTAGGAAATAACTATCCATATGCTGCAGGATAGGAGCTTTCATTGATGATTCTTTCGAAAAATGTCATCCCGATATTTTTATTTTATTTTTTTGGCTGTGAAATGAAATAATGCTCAAATTATCCAACAATCACAGATTGATCTGGAAAGTGGATGGATGGCAAAGTGTGGTCAAGTCTGCAAATAAAAAAGAAAGCATGGTGTCTCTCATGCTGAGGTATAAAGGTTTGTCAGACAGAAGGGCTTGGATTTGTGAAGTTTTTATTATTGTTGCTTGTAAGTGTTAGTCTGTTTGATATAATATCATCTGCAAAGACGGCATAAAACTGCACAGGGGGATTTGTTTACCATGATCCCCCGTCAGCATCCATTACAGTGCCGGCTGCCACATTGGGAGAAAAAGTCAGTGAAATCAGCATGCTTTTCCTGCTTCCATTATAGATCCAACTGATTGTTTTACACTTTGCCGTTTGCCTATACTACTGTGTGCAGATGGCTCCATTTGGGACTCATTTAAATGCACTAAAACTGATTAAAGAATTTCTAATTTAACAGAAACCTAAATGTATAATAACAATAAAAGTATATATTTATTTTTTTTACCTAAACATGTATTATTTTTGCTGCTTTTTCCACCTCTTCGTTTGGCATGTTCTTAATAGATTGTCTAACGTGACTTTTTCATTGCTCAGACCTAAAGAAAGTGCTAAACTCATGAAGCAGTGAGGAGAAATACATTTTATAAAAGAGACAGGAGTGCAGAGGGGAACCCATTAGGAAAATTATTAGGATTATCCCTGCAATCTTTCTGCGAGATCTAAATATAGTTTGCACAAATCTTTTTTTTCCTCCCCCTTTTTAATAGAGTGCAGTGTAATCACTGGGCATTATGTAGAAGTGATTAAAAAGTATACTGGCCTGAGAGAAATTAAGCAAACTAGATCATACTAAATATTTTAGCATTTGCAGTAAGGAAGGAAAGACAGGATTTTGTTGCGTAAAGACAAAAGTGAAACCCCATTATAAAAGAAAAATCTAATAATTTCTTATCCAATTTGGATTTTAGTGCTTTTACCAAAAAGTAATAATAATAAAGTACAACTTAAGAGGAAAGAGACAATATATTTCACTGAAACAAACTGAGCGTTTTATTTCTGACTTCAACGAGGTGAATTTGTTCGCTTTTAGAACAAAAAAGCCACTTTTCACCGCGGATAGTTGCGGAGCGCAGCGCAGAGGCGAGCGATGCGCGCGCCTATCCGCCACGTTGCGCACGGCCTCCCCTTTAATCTAAATGAGGGGGTAAAACGGGAAGAATAAGGGGCTTCAAAAGTTGCCGTACCTCTCCTCTTGGATCGCCTCCTCCTCCTCCGCTTCAGCTTGCATCTAACCTGGCCGCTCGGAGCGCCCGAGCCGCGGCTGCTGTTTCCAAGCACGGATGCCATCGGCGCAGCAGCGGAGCGCAGAAGCAACTTGGTGCCGACTCTCCTTCGCACTTGCCTCGTCAGTCTCTCCGAACAGCGTTGCGTCCTCTCTTCCTCCGCTCTCTTTGTGTTTATAAAGATCAAGGCTCTCTCTTTTTTTTTCTGTGTGAATATTATCACCTGGGAGCGTCTCAGCGTAGAAAGTCCAGCACGTCTCCGGCGCTCGGATGTAAACCTCTGCTGTCAGCGCAGCCTGGCAGCTCTCTGTCTGTCTGCTCCGCTCCTCTCCGCCCCTGCACTAGTTTTTTTTTTTTTTTTTTTTGGCATCAGCCACTTTGGGCTCAATCATGCAGGACGCCTATCTATTTGCTGCCGAGATTTCTAATTAGGGTCCAATCGCGGCTGTTGGAGGGGGTGTGACATCAGCAGCGACACCCACCAGCTCACACACCCCTTGCTCACCCACCATGGGTATTTTTTAGGCTGCTTAGACTCGCACCTCACACTTTTCTTGTTCTGTTTTTTATTTCCTCATTTCCCAAAAAAAGCCAGCCTCGAAGTTTGGTGATGTTTTGCATTTCATTTCTCCAACTCTCCCCTGTGTGCCATCCTGCAGAGGAAACTTTACTGCAGGGCGAAAAAGACCAAGATGCTTTTTAGAATGCAGATAAGAAAAAGAACAGAAAACTCTCTGCAGCCTTGTCTTACATTTAGCCTACTCATGCTTTGCCGTCTCTGCTTGTAGAAATTAGTTTTTCTGCTAAAGGATTTATGATTTTCTTTTGAGAATAATGTAAAATTAATTATCACTCTTTAAAAAAAATCAGTAAAATAGAAATTTTCTTAAAATAAAACAATCTGAAAAGTGTGGCATGCATGTATATTTAGCTCCTTTTGTCATGATTGTTTTAAGAGATCTGACCCACATGCAGAGAACCACTCAGAACCAGGGAAAAAGTTAAACAGGTTTATTGAGGGAATGAGTACAGGAGTTGGATCTGGAACTCAGTGAACTGGTGAACCGGAACTGGAAAGTCTGGAGGGGAGATCACAGTGATCAGTTCAGGGACCGTAGAAAAGTTGACTGAAGCTTGAATACTGTTGGAGTGGGACTCACGTTTGAGGGGGTCTCTTGTTTATCCTTGAATCCAGTCTGTGTGGGTTTATCCAGAGAAGATGGAACTTGGAGAGCGGGCAGGTAGACATGTGTTGGACCGAGAGAGGCAATGGAGCGGGCTGTCACTTGGATTTCCGAAAGGGACTTGAACGGCTCATGTTGATGTTTTCCCCTGTTCAGTGTGAACTCAATTAATCCTTCCAGGGGAAGAAGGCCAGGCATCCAGTTACACAGGAAGGCTTCCTGCCGAAGAGCAAAGACAAAAACCATATAAGACTCAGAGGAACAAAGCTTAGGTTAGGTTAGACTCAGCTAATCTCAGCTTGGCTAGAGTACCCAAAACTGGCAAACACTCTGGCGTCGAGGTTAGTGACAGCCCACTGCTCAAATACTCCTCCAGATAATGATCCAACGAGCCGCAGGTGTGCAGGGAGGCCCAACGTGAACAGGGCACCTACTGGTGGTGGAGAGAGAAAAATACACAAACAACCCACACAAACTGGAATCCTAACACCTTTAATCAGTAAACAATGCAGAACTGTGTTTCATAGCTATAATTATAACTTCTGGGCGTTTTTTTTTTTTTTTCTTTTTTTTTAACGAAAATTTAGATACTGAAAAATCCTAAACATTTTTATTGGTGGTTTCAATTCAGTTCAATTCAATTCAGTTTATTCCTATAGCGCCAATTCACAACACATGTCATCTCAAGGCACTTTACAGTTCACCAAATCATCCAGTCAAATTGATTCAAAGTTTTCTATCTAAGGAAAATCAGTTGATGGCATCATATAATTGGAAGTAGGGCATCTTTAAGTCTCCATCAATTCTTAATTTAACTTCAGTTTGAGCTAAGGAAAAGCTTCCCCACAGCATGATGCTGCCATCACTGATCAGGTTCCCCCCCCCCCCCCCATCCCTCCAGGTCAGCGGACAGGTCAGCTTTAATCTCATCTGACCAGAGCATGTTTTTTTTTACCTCTACATACCCCATGGCAAACTGCAAACATTTTATTGCTGTCTTCTTTTTATCTTCACCATAAAGAGACCATTTTTGAAGGCCAGAGAAAGCAATTGTTTGGATGAAAACTATTCCCGGAGAATTGATTCATAAGTTATTGGGGGGAGGTTCAAAGCTTTTGCTTTTTTTTTTTTTTTTTTCCACCTAAAGCATTTTAAATTCAACCAATCACAATCTGTCTGCTGTGTTTATTGGTCTTCATTACCTTTCATTATGTACTATTACAAAACTCCTTTACCGAATACCTGGATTTTTACTATATCCCACAGACTCAATTAAGTAGTTAGTTTAAGTCGAAAGATAAATTCTTACTATGAATTATATTAAGAGGTGTCGGTATACAATACACAAGTTATACAACAGCCGAAACTTGTCATCTTTATTTGCACAAACAAACAAACAATAAAAATATAAGCACTCATTTTTCTTAGGTTTTTGCCAAGCACTACGAAATGGAGTATGTTACCTCTCGACAAATCTCTTTTAGCTCATGAAAAGCCACATTTCTCTTAGAAGTTTGCAGGTAACCTTCAGCATCCTCGCAAAGGTAATAAAAATATAGAAAAAAAATTGTGTTGTGGGCAGAAAGTTTGAAGAATGTGACATTTTGGCATTTTTGTGAGAAAATGTGTTGTGCCGAAGCTTTCAGAAAGCATTTGTGTTTTCCATTGCTGCAGGTTATCGCGCTGTTCCCCTGGCCTCTGCGGCTTAAGGTCAGGTATGGTGTTTAAGGTGGGGGAGGCACTATATGCTACTGTCGGGCATTTGGAGATACTGCATAGGTGTAGATCTGCAGAAGCTTGCTTAGACAGGTTGTGAACTTGTGTCTAGCCAACTGTGGATCACTTTTAGTTTCTAGGAACCATACCAGTAACCTGTGGGTATCCTCACACATACACTGCTTGGGAGATGGCTCAGAGGAGATGAACTTACTTTGGCAACTCATTTAATACCTTTCTCAGTAACTGCTTTTCTGCTGCAATTATTCATTTTATGTGGTTTGGCTCATCCACTGAATAGGACAGGTCCACACTGCAACAAGCATGGCTGACCTTCCTTCCATGCAGGATTTGTACAGGGCTAAGATTTTTAAACATTTAAAATAGCGGCCACAGGCTTTCTAACCCCAGGCTGTCAATCTGAAGAACAGACAGCCTGAGAGCTCTGATCAATACCATGCTTATTTGGAGCTGTCTGCTTAGGTCTTTCTTTTTGGTAAAACTTGTTTGTGTACATATTAACAATCAATATTTTTATTTATTATTATTCTCCTTTTTTAAACACATCATACTTTAAATGTCTTCACGGAGAGCAAAGTGGATCCAAAGACAAATTTCTTGTTTGTATAAAAACCTGGAGATTAAAGCTGATGATGATTTTAAGATAGCTTTGTGTTGTGTCCTGTCGTGGCAGCTTATGCTGGCAGCATACAGTAAGCCAGGTATGGTTATCTTACAGCAGGGATGTCCAAAGTGTGGCCATGGGTCCATGTGCTGGCCTTTGATAAACTTTAAGTGGCCATTGATCACAAATAAAGAATGGCCAAAATAAGGATTGTCATGATGGGCTTTAAGGTTCTGACCCACATGCAGAGACACACTCAGAAGCCAAGGGAAAAAGTTAACAGGTTTATTGTGGTTGACAAAAACACAGTGAGAGATATACAGCTGGGTAACACTGTTGGAACTCAGCGGACTGGTGAACTGGAACCGGAAACTCTGAAGGGGAGATCACAGTGATCAGTTCAGGGACCGTAGGAAAAATGACTGAGGCTTGTAATTTGCCTGAGTGGCACTCATTGTTGTGATCCTCAGGCTTGCCCACCAGAGGGCGCCGAGGATCCTCTTCTGTTTTATGTTGTTTTCTGTTAGGACTGGAGTTACTGTTGGGATCTGGAAGTTACCATCTGTCTCCAGCAGAGTGCGCCGTGGGTCTCCTGGGGCTGGAATCTTCCAGCACACCTGAGACCCATCTACTCATCAGGAGACCTTCCCTTTATAAACACCTGCCAGACCTTGCTTCGACGCTGCAGTGTTGATCTTAGTTTGGTTAGCAACCTGAGCCTCTGAAACTGAAAGAATGTTAGTTGTCTCAAGTGAGAGATCAGATTCTAACTCTCCTCTGTTTTTGCCTCACAGAAAACCTGTCTCTAGCTTGAAGCTCTGGGAGAGCTGCCTCACGGGAAACCTGTCTCTAGCCTGAAGCTCTGGGTGAACTGCCTCACAGGAAGCCTGTCTCTAGCCTGAAGCTCTGGGTGAACTTCCTCACAGGAAACCTGTCTCTAGCCTGAAGCTCTGGGTGAGCTGCCTCACAGGAAACCTGTCTCTAGCCTGAAGCTCTGGGTGAGCTGCCTCACAGGAAACCTGTCTCTAGCCTGAAGCTCTGGGTGAGCTGCCTCACTGGAAACCTGTCTCTAGCCTGAAGCTCTGGGTGAGCTGCCTCACAGGAAACCTGTCTCTAGCCTGAAGCTCTGGGTGAACTTCCTCACAGGAAACCTGTCTCTAGCCTGAAGCTCTGGGTGAGCTGCCTCACAGGAAACCTGTCTCTAGCCTGAAGCTCTGGGTGAACTGCCTCACAGGAAACCTGTCTCTAGCCTGAAGCTCTGGGTGAGCTGCCTCACTGGAAACCTGTCTCTAGCCTGAAGCTCTGGGTGAACTGTCTCACAGGAAACCTGTCTCTAGCCTGAAGCTCTGGGTGAGCTGCCTCACAGGAAACCTGTCTCTAGCCTGAAGCTCTGGGTGAGCTGCCTCACAGGAAACCTGTCTCTAGCCTGAAGCTCTGGGTGAGCTGCCTCACAGGAAACCTGTCTCTAGCCTGAAGCTCTGGGTGAGCTGCCTCACAGGAAACCTGTCTCTAGCCTGAAGCTCTGGGTGAGCTTAACCTGCCAATCAGCCCTGGTGAGCCAACCTGAAGATTCCAATGTGGAATTAACCTGAAGATTCCTATGTGGATATCCCCTGCTGCTCTCTGTGAAGAGCTGGAAACTCAGATCAAGGTCTGCCATGCTAAGTCAGAAGCTAGACGCTGCTGCTCCTCGTGTACTCTGCTGAACCAACAGTCTCTGGACCCAACTGTTCCCTCTCTCTCAAAGAGAAGCCCGGACCCAGTCAAGACTTCAGTGAACCAGCCCGGACCAGTTCCAGAACCTGTACATTATCTTGTGTTTCAGAACCTTAATTAAACTCTGTTA